TCTCCTTGGGGGCTCTGTTACTGCTGTGAGCCCTGCAGGCTGTTGCCTGGCCTGAATTTCTGTAGTCTGTGTTTCTGCAGCCGTGTGACAAAATTACATCCTGCCACCTGGCTCGTGCTGGCACCAGCTTGTCTCTCAGGGTGGTTGTCCCATTCCAAGGTCAGGATTTGGCTCTGATTTGGGGACCAGCCATGCCACTGTTGCTTCTTCCTCAGGGTCCCCTGGTGATCGGTCCTGGCTGCCTCCTCTCGGGCCTCGACGTGGGCTCCTCACCAGCCCTGTGGGCCTGTCCCCTGCGTGATATTGTCCTGCAGGGCCACCACGTCCGGCTGCGCGACCTGCCCTGCCGCGTGTTCACTCTCACCGGCCGCCTTGACGACTGGCAGGTGCGGGGGCAGTGAGGTGGCACAAGGCTCCCAGCAAAGCCACAGTGTGATCAGCCCCTCTGTGTCCCCGCAGAGCCCTGTGGAAAAAGCCACCTACCTGAACGTGCCCTGGGCTGAGTTTTTCCAACGGACGGGTGTTCGGTAGGTGCCCACGTGTCAGGGTGGAATAGGACACCAAGCTCCTGAGGTGTCATGACCACCTCAACCCATCCCACAATCCCTCATGGAAGGTGTCTTTGAGCCCCAGAGCAGTGATGATGGTTTCTTCCTCCCTCAGGGAAGGGGACCTTTGGGATGCTGAGACGCCGCAGAGGAGCCGCTGCCTGCTCAGCGCCCGGCTCTTCCCGGTGCTGCACGCCCGCGAGGCGCTGGGGCTGCAGGATGTGCTGTGGCTGCTGGGCCTGGCCGCCGTGGCCAGCGAGCAGCTGGTGCGCTGGAGAACAGCCTGGCGTATGTCCTGGCAGGAGCTGCTGCCCTGCCTGGACATAGAAGCTGAGCTGGGTGCCCGCCAGGCCCTGTTCTTCCTGCAGGGCCAGCACAAGGTGCGGCGGGTGCTGCTGGGGCGCCAGGACAGCAGCCTCCTGCCACTTGCCCGCAGTGCCGTCCATGAGGGCTACCACAAGGCCATGCTGGGCACGTTGGATGAAGGTGAGCTGGACTCATGAGCTGCATCTCTCATTATCAGGACTGTTCAGTGCTCCCCACTGCCTTCAATGATTCCCTCACTGCAGGGGTGTACTTGCAGGGCATCCACAAGCTTGGGTGGGGCCATATTCAAGTTCTGCTCCCCTAGGGATAGCTTATGGCAGAAGCTGGTTGGGGTGCAGTGCAGCCTGGCTGTGCTTTGCAACCTCCTTTTATTTTATTTTCTAGTTGCCTCCACGGCCGGCGATGCTGGTGTTGCAGCACGGGCACTTGCCTGTATTGCTGACGTCCTGGGCTGCATGGCACAAGGGGAAGGGGGCTTGCGGAGTGGTCCTGCTGCCAACAGGGAGTGGGCCTCAGCTTTTGGGCGCCTGGAGAGCGGGGACATTGCTGGTGGTGTCCAGGAGCTGGCTGCTGAGCGGCAGAAGTGGATGAGCCGGTGAGGCTGGGGCTGGCAAGAGGCAGCTGCCCCATTCCCATTCCAGGCATTGGTGCTGTCATGGAGATGTGGCAGTGGACTCAGCATTTCTCTTATCCCAGGCCAGCTCTGCTGGTGAGAGCAGCTCGGCATTACGAGGGGGCCGAGCAGATCCTCATCCGGCAGGCAGTGATGTCCTCATGCCAGTTCATCACCGTGGAACAGGCAGAGCTGCCACCCTTGGGGCACTGGGTGCAGGCGGTGTGTCCAGCCCGCCTGGACCTCTCCGGTGAGCGCATTCCCTGCGTCAGATGATCCTTGTCTCACCCCTGTGGTGCAGGGGAACAGGAGTGAGGGTGCCCCAGGAGGGTGACGGTGAGTGTTGGCAGGTGGCTGGAGCGACACTCCCCCCATCACCTACGAGCACGGGGGGGCCGTGGTGGACGTGGCAGTGCTGGTGGATGGCTGCCGGCCCGTTGGTGCCCGGGTGCGGCGCATCGTCCAGCCGGAGCTGCGCCTCGTCAGCCTCAGCGGGACGCCACAGGGCGAGGTGGTGGCAGAGCTGGTGTGCCGGGAGCTGGAGCACTTACAGGATTACTGCCAGCCACATGCACCAGGTGAGGGGTCACCTGCCAGCCTGGCTTTGTACCTGCGATGTCCTGTTGGTGCCAGGATGGCCCTTTTTGGGGCAATGGGATGAGGGAGCAGGTAGCACAGCAGGCATCAGCTTTACTTCTTTTTTGTTTTCAGGAGCCCTGCTCAAAGCTGCCTTTATCTGCACCCAGGTTGTGCAGTTCCCCTCACAGACGCCCTTGCGGGCCCAGCTGATGGAGAGTTTTGGGGGTGGCTTTGAGGTGCACACCTGGTCCAAGCTGCCCCACGGGTCTGGCCTTGGTAGGTCTGCTGGGAAGGGGCTGGATAGTCCTTCACTGGTGCCTGGGAGTGTCTCCTGCTGCCAACACCAGGATGGGGCAGCCCTCTTGGGACACAACAGTGCCTCACTGCCCTGGCCCCACCTGTGCTCCCCGCAGGAACCAGCAGCATCCTGGCAGGAGCAGTGATGGCATCCCTGTACCGGGCAGCAGGGAAGGCTGCCAGCACTGAGTCCCTTATCCATGCTGTGCTGCACCTGGAGCAGAGGCTCACCACAGGTAGGGCCTGGGGGAGCAGCTGACCCACAGGGTGGGGGTCCCAGCAGTGACTGATGACCCTCTGCCCTGCAGGGGGTGGTTGGCAGGACCAGGTTGGTGGGCTCATTCCTGGCATCAAAATCGGGAGGTCGAAGGCCCAGCTGCCACTCAGAGTGGAAGTGGAGCAGATCCTGGTCCCTGATGGTTTTACTCAGACTCTGAATGATCACCTGCTGCTGGTGTACACAGGGAAGACTCGCCTGGCCCGCAACCTGCTCCAGGTAATGTCTGGGTGCTTGTGGGTGTCACACGCTGGCCTCTGCTCCCCCTGTGGCCTTTGGTGGCATCCCCTTCACTTGTGCAGAGCTTTGCCACCCCAGAGGGAGCTGGCACCCAAAGGCCATGGGTGCAGCACTACCTCCCCAGGTGCTGCCAGAGCCAGGACAGTGACAGGGACACTTTGGCCCCTTGCAGGATGTGGTGAGGAACTGGTATGCCAGGCTGCCCTCCATCGTGCAAAATGCTGACGCGCTGGTGAGCAATGCTGAGGAGTGTGCCCAGGCCTTGAGGCAAGGTGTGAGCCCCCTTCCCTAGGCCAGGTTGGCCCTTTTAACAGCTGAAGAAACACAAACTTTTCCCAGGGAGAGGCTGTGCAGTCTCAGAGGGCAAGAAGGCTGGGAGGGTGCAGGCTCTTGCAGCTGCAGAAGCTTCAAATCCTCCCCCAAGCCCACCCTCACCAGGCCATATCTGAAAATTCGGCTTGAACAAAGATTTTGAGGAGGAGGGCGTTAGACATGCTGAATCTGATTGATTGGCAGTGCACCATTGGTGGCAGGGCTGGGGGCCATGCCTGGTCAGTGCAGTGGGTTTATTTGGCTGTGCAGAGGAAGCTGGAGCATTAGAGCAAGCACATCCTCCCCCTGTGGAGGATTAAAAACAGCAACGTGACAGGGCTGGGGTTGCCTGCTTGGCCGGCAGAGCTGGGAGGAACTGGAAAAGAGAAGTCAAAATTTAGCTTGGGCTGAGCACGTTTCTGCCCTGTGGGTGAGAAACAGAGACAAGTAATTTGTAACATTCCCTCCTCTGCAGGTGACCTACAGCTCCTTGGCAGGTGCCTGGACCGCTACTGGCAGCAGAAGAAGGGCATGGCCCCGGGCTGCGAGCCGCTGGCCGTGGGGCGCCTGATGGACGCTCTGCGGCCCCACGCCCACGGGCAGTGCTTGGCCGGGGCTGGCGGCGGCGGCTTCCTCTGCATCCTAACCAAGGCCCCGCGGCAGAAAGAGGCTTTGCACCAGATCCTGGCAAACACTGAGGTGAGCTGCGAGCCCCGCGCTGTTGCAGGCAGCTTGTAGAAGCCTTATGTAGAGCATGAGGAGCATCTCTCCCCATCACACATGGGGTGTGATTGCTTGTTGTTGCAATGTCCTGCCTGGGACCTTTGCTGGCTCCTGCCTCAACCTGTGTCTCTCTTTTTCTAGGGATTGGGCAACTTCAGCATCCACAGCATTGAAGTGGACACGGGTGGTTTCTCTGTGGAGGTCGTGGGATGTGATACCAAGGACAGTGCTCAGCCTGGAGGGGACAGGGCTGTGTGAAGGCCTTCAGCTCTGGCCCATTCCTGGCAGATATCCAGAACAGGTGCAGGGAAATTCCCACTGCTTTAGGGGAAGCTTCTTTGGCCAGCTCCAGCAGGTGCCTTAGGTCTCCATATGGCCTTTTTGTGCTGCTACTTGCCCCAAAAGCCAGAGACTGGAGAAATTGTGACAAGTTGTGCAGGCAGGCAGAACTACCCATGCTGGGTGGCCTTACTGCAGGGACAGTTTGCTAGGGCCTCCAGCCTGATTTTGGTGTTTCACTCCAGTTTTTACAGTTCTCCAAAGGGAACAAGCTAGCATTTATGATGCTGTGTCTAGCAGGAACCTTCCTGCTCTTCCAGCAGCAGGGACCCAAGCTGACAGTTCAGCATGCAATGCTCCTGCACCAGGGATGCAGTTGGATGTGGAATCAAGATCCTCTCCTGTCTTGAGGCACTGTTTCAGCAGTGAAATAGTGACTAGTGAAAGCAAGTTACTAGTCCATGCAGTCTGAATAAAAAAGCTTGTTCTCAGCATGTGTTTGTGATCCTCTATCCCTAGCAGGGCTGCTCTCTCTTCACAGGATAGCAAAGGCCCAGCATTGCATGGGAAAAGCATTTCCAGGGGTGGGAATGGCAGAACCTGCATGGACAGGCTCGTTTTCCCCTTCCATGGCCCTGGCTAAAGGAGACAGCACAGGAAAGCAGCCACAGGAGGCAGCCAGGCAAGACAAGGAAGAGCCTCTGGGTCCCCTGGCACAGGGTAGAAGAGAAGAACTAGAGCAGAGCTCTTGTACCACATCTCTCCAGCTCCCTCCAGGCCCACAGCTGAACACACCACTGGAGACTGCAACTCAACCAAGCAAGGTTTATTTACAGAATAACTGTACAGAGCCAGCAGGGACACAGCCCCACTTCCTTCAGAGGCTTTCTAGTGATTTTCCAAGCACCTTCCCAAGGAAATCACTCCTTTTCCCTTCCACAGAACAGTTCCCACCACCACCAGGAGAGAGCCAGGGCTCAGCATTTGTGACTCCAGAAGCTGACCCTTAAACTGGGGGCACAGAGGGAACACAGCTGCAGCAGCAGACCCATATTTGAACCCCACCTGTCCTGGCCTGTGGCCTCCTGCAGGGCAGCAGAGCACAGGGAGTCAGGAGCAGGCACTGGCCTGTGTTCTGAGAAACAGCATCATCCTGCTCTCAGCATGAGAGATTCCTCTGGTGCCATGTTTCTGCTCCCACAGAAGGACGGCAGGTCTTCTCACCAGGCCCAGGAAAACCCTTTGCTCCAAGGAATGCGAGCAGAAGGGCAGACATCATCCCATTGCCACACCATCAAACAGCCCCAGGACAGGATGTGGGCAGGCTCCAGGACTGCAACCTTCCTGCCCTTAGCTGCAGCGTGGTGCTGATCCAAGCAGGGACCAACTACAGGCGCAGGCGCTTGATGTCCTCGCTGCGGAAGTCGATGCGGAGAGCCAGCACCTGCCGCACCTCGGCGGGAGTCAGGCGCCAGGTGAGCGGGCCCGAGTTTGGACCCCAGTAATCCAGAATCTCTGTCACCTGCAAAAAGAGGGGAGCTGTAGGACATGGCTCAGCACAAACTGTCCTCACAGGTAAGTTTGAACTCCAGCACCAGCAGACACGGGGGAACTCCTCCAGGTTCTCCACACCCTGTAGGTGCGATGACACCCGGATGAACTGAGTAAAGCCACGTGCAGTGCAGTGGTGTTCCCACAATCCCCCAGGAGAAGCAGACCAAGTGCAGCTCACCCTTTCCAGGTTGAGGATGGTGGCCATTTGGGAAAGACGGGCAAACTTGTCACGGATAGTCCATGTGGTGACTGTGGTGAGATAGGCTATGAGGGACCTCAGCTCCTTGTCGAACTGCAGACCGCCGAGCTGTGGGCAGAGAGGGAGATCTGTTAACTCTCCAAGCAGACCATGGGGTTGTGCCAAGACACCAACTAAAATCACAGGGAGGCAGGGGGACGTCTCTAAGCAGGCAGGTCCCAGTTAAACCATTTACTGCAGGTTTAAGTGGCTTATGTTTAGACCCACCTTAAAACCCAGTCCCCTTATTGGTGCCAGCTCCTCTCAGTCCCATCACCAAACCCACTTTGTCCCTGTGGGTGCTGATGTAAATGCATCCCTGAGCTGGTCACTGGTGGTTGGAGAGTTTCTTATAGGGTAATATTTGAGGGTAGAAGATAATATTTGCACCTGCCCTGCCCCATCCTTTATTGAGGGTTTGCAGTCAAGACAGACTACATGGTATAGGAGTGTTTTGCTTACCCTGCTGAAGGTGGATTTGAGCAGCACTTTCTCCAGTTCAATGGCTATGAGACTGGTCATAAGACCAGTGAGAGTATCATAAATCACTGGAGACAGTCCAGCCTGGAAGCAGAAACCTGTGTCATTCTTGTCAGGAAAAACTGAGCAGAGGTGCCTAAAGCCCAAGGCTAGGAGAGCTTACAAATAAGGACTTGCAGGAGAAGGGGGTGACCGGATCCCTAAGAGCCATGCAAGGCACTGGAGGACATCTCTGCTTGCCAAGCAAGGAAAGGGCTGGAGGATGCCACATGGAGGTCTGGCCAAAGCCTGGCAGGCTGTCAGCTGCTCCTCTCACCTTGAACTCTGTCATCTGCTGTTCCAGATTGACGATGAACTGCTGGACCCAGGGATCATTGGCCTCATAGTCACTGAACTCCTCCTGCCAGTGAAATGCAGAAAGAGTTGTTTATGTGGCATGAAGAAAACCACAGCCAACAGCCCACAGGACAGGAAGGGAGGTCCCTACTGGAGCAGCACTTCTTCCTTTCTGCTCCTCTGTAGCCAAATGTCCCTTTCCAGGCTTGGCTGCAGAGCAAGATCTGGGTATTTTACTGATGCTCTGTGCCAAGGAAACAGCAGATAAGTGAGGGGAAGGAAACAGTGGTTTCTCTGACTGTGCTGCTGAGCAGAAGATAGAGAGTGCTCAAGTAGAGCTGGAAGCAGAGAACACTGAGCCTCACCTCCTCAATGTTGTGGGAGACAGAGAGGAATAAGTTGATCCATGGCTTCACCTGGGGTTTGATGGCTGTGCTGTTGAGCTCATTGAGACCTTCCTGAGCGAGACAGCAAGAAGAAGGGACAGTGAGGCACAAAATCTCTACAAACAGGCTGTCTTGATGCTGCTAATCAGCTTGGGAAACTGGCCCACAGATCTGCACAGGAAACTGCCCCCAGAAGGCCCTGATCCCACACTCTTCCGGTGCCGGAAGGCTCTGAGGACACCATGTCAAGAAGAGGAGGAAGGATGTTGCCCCAGAAGCTGCTGTTGTGCTGACTTGTAGTGTGGTCTGAAGGGCTTGTGCTTCCCCACCCCATCCCACAGAGCTACAGATTTCCTGGCAGGAGTGAGGTACCTGAGGTAGGAAAAAATGCAAACTCCATTTTTTCAGTCAGCACCAGCCAGGGCACTGTGACTGAACTCAACTGATGCCTCCTACCTCCACTGCAGTTTAGCTCAGTAGGAGAACCTAAAAGGAAGTTAAAAGCTGTAACCACAGTTAGTTCCCTGAATTAATCATAACCCCAGCACATGCCATCTCCCCTGAGCAGCAGGCTGTCAGCAAAGGCTGTTCTGTCCCCTGTGATGAGAGCTCTTAAAGCCCTCTCCTGCCAGCCACCCCTCTTAGGCTCAGCAAGGTGTCACGAAAGCTCACTCAGTATGAAACTGTGTCAGTACCAATTCTGACTGGCATTTGATAGAAGATTTTAACTAAAACTGGCATTTCTGAGAAGGCCCTGCTGGCAATTGTCCTTTTCTGAGGCAAATTCAGTGTGTGTGTGACTAAGGCAGCAGAGGAGCTTCCTCCTCAGCCTCTAGATTGCTTTACAGCCACTTTTAAAACCAGTGAGACTGGAGAGTTTTACTCCTTACTGGTAAGCTCTTTGGTTTCAATACTGACCACAGTCCCCACGAGGGTTTGCTGACAGTGCTGAACTGAAGGCATCTGCCTGCACTGGACTGCAAAGCCAAACAAAAAATAATCTGACCCCTCTGTGAAGTACAAAGGCAAACCTGATTCCAAATTTTCTCCTTTGCTCGGTTTCTTTCCACATGAGGTACTAGGTCTTCCTGCTTCTCTCCCTGCCAGAGACCACTGTGACATTTTAGGACAGCAGGCCCCAGCATGCCACAGGAAACTGGATTTAGCCAGAGTCCTCTGCTCCATGCTGAGGGCTATTTGCATTTGGGAAAGAAGGAGAAACCTGAGAAAAGGGCAGCCCTTCTCTACCAACAGCCTGTCTTCAGCATTACTTAGTGAGGCTGTGGACAACTTGACAGTGTGCTGTGCCACGAGGGAGAATGGAGGAGATGGAAATGCTATTAATATTTCTTTTCCTGAGAGTGCTGAACCAACTGCAACTCCACGCTGAGTAAAGACAAATGAAGCAACATTCCTTTTGGCTCTGCAGCTGCTTCCAGTGCTTTTTATGCAGCTGCCAGCTGGTGTGGCTGTGTAAATGGGCTGGGGCTGTTTCCATGCCTCAAAGCTGACTGATTTGCTCCCTCCTGCACCCTACCCAGCACTCCTGGAGTCAGACATGGCCTGGCCCTAGGCTGAAGTGATTCCTGCCAGAGTTCTCCCTGAAGGCACCAGCAGCCAGTGCTGGAAGGCAGCAGTAATTTGGAGAGACACTCACCTGCAGCAGGTCCCGGAATTTGTTGGAGACAGCAGCCATGTCCGAGAGGCAGCTCTCGATCTTGGCCTGTGCCTGCTCACCCCCGAATCCTTGGCTAAGTAGTTTGCTGCAGTCACTCTGCAGGGAAGAGATCCATGAGCAAGCTGCAAATTAATAACCTGGGCAGTTTTTATTCCTTTGTGTTGCTGAGCTCTGGCTGCCCACCAGCGTGTGGGATAGGACAGGAGCCCAACTCTTGCTCCTGCAAAGGCAGAGGCTGCTGGCTCCAGCTGCAGGGAGAAAGGACAGCAAGAAAAGAAGCCAGGGGCTGTTTAGCCTAGCACCAGAGAACTGCAGACTCTCCATGATGCACGGGTTATTCCTGCACCAGGTTAGTCAGGCTGGAGGAACTGGTATTTCTGGCTGCTACTATCAGCCGGAAATTGCTCTGCCAGCTCAAAATTCCTTCCCTAAGGCTGGAGGGCAAAGACCTCAGGAACTCAGGCATATCAAAGTCCAGATGGTTTACTTGACCCCTGCCTCCACCAAGGGAGGATATTACAAATTTGATTGAGGAAAAACCAGTAAAGAATACAGACTGCACCTCCAAAGTCTTCTTTAGGGTCATGATGTTTTCACTGCAGACTTCCACATTGTTTAAGGTCACCTGAAAAAAACCCAAAACAAACCCAAGCTGGATTAAATGGAATTTCCTAGCACCTCACCCCTAAATCCACACATTTAATCCATGCCCTGCTAACAGTATGGACTGAAATTCAAGTAGTTAAGGGACAGAGCTGCTACTGTGAGATCAAAGCACTGCAGATTCACTGAGCTGCGTGAAGCTAAACTCCAGCAACAGACCACATGTGCTGAACCCCCAACTAGCACAGAGTTCAAGACACTTTACTGTTTTTTCTTCATCATCCTTCTACACCAGAAGAGCCACCAAACCCACCAGAAAGGACTGCTTGGCCTCGTCAGTGCTTTCAATGCCTTTGGTGTCGAACTTGCCCTGCTGCAGGCTGCTGTGCATGATGTTCACAGCACTGGTCACCCCTCTCTGGAAGTCCTGGAATGTCGTGGCTGGGAAGCCCTGCTTCAGCTTGTTGTACAGAACCTCCCTGTAGGCAAGCAGAACACACAAGTGTTTAGAGCAAGCAAAAAGAAAATTATGCTCTGTGCCTGGGGAAAGCATTCTGTCTGAGATCTGACCTGAACAAGGCAGTGGAACTTCAAAGGGGAAAAAAAGGCTGGCAAGTATCTCCTGACAGCATCAGAATGCTGAAAGAAAAACATAGCCAACCAGTTTTTGAGCTTTCCTGAATATCCTGCCTGCAGCTGCCTGCTGTCTTCAGACACACTTCCTCACTCCCACAATGGAATGAAAAACAGCAGGACAATTTCTGCAGTCTCACCCAAGTCTGAGTCATCAGTTAACCCAGAGAACAACTAGGGGTGATCATGTACCCTCAAGCAGGGTAGTACCCCAATGATACAAGGCAACTCCATCTCATAGGGATTTTGGGCCATGAGATACTTTTCTCTATTCATCCTACAGGTGGATCATCACTACTGTGAGAAAAGAGGCCCAGATCCAGCTTCCCACATCTGCAACTGGTTCCTACAAGGGTCTTCCACGGAGATGACAAGCCAGAGGTTCAAAGGCAAAGAACACAAGAAAGACCACCTGACAACAACCACTGTTTGCAGAACGTGAGGTGGAGGCACCTTACAATGAACCTGGTGTGTTTCCTTTACCTGAAGTCAGACTCCAGCTCAGTGGTGGAGTGGTTGATCATGGCACAGAGACAGTCTATGCTGGAGCTGGACAGAGCACGCCCAATGCACTTCTTCACTATATAAAACACATCATCCACCATGCTGGAGGTGAGCTGGCCCTTCTCATAGCTGTCCATGGCAACAGCCTGCAAAGAAAGCTGTCTCAGTGCCCTGAGCTCACTGAGCAACACCACCCCAGCAGTGCTGAGAGACCAAACTGCCCATCTGCCCACCTCCCCTGAGTGCAACTGCACCTGTGTGGCTGGCACCACTCAGACCAGTCTGCAGTAGCCAGAGAAGATACCTGGGGCGTGTCTGAAGTAAAAGTTCAGAAACTTTTACCACTTGCTTTTCAAAGCTAAGGGAAACAAGACTTTCCCAACAACTGCAGATTTGCCATGTAAGCATATCCCTCCCTTGGGATGCTCACCAGAGGACTGAGGAGCACACACAGAAAAGCATCTAAGAGGCTTTCCCCCACCTTGTTGACAGTCTCCCTCATGAAGTATTCTTCCATGGTGATGTAGTAGCCAATGAGCTCTTGCATGGTGCAGCTCAGCAGACAGTTGTTGAGGAGCTTGTCCAGGTATTTTTGATGCTCTGTGGAACAAAAGACAGACCCATCAGCAAGAACCCAAGGCCAGGAGGCAGCTCCATGAAGTCCCCTTGCTGCTTGTCTCATGGGACCCAACAGACACACACCTGCCAAGCCCAGCCTAAAACAAATCACAAGCCTTAACTGTGGAGCTGAAATTGCTGAGTTGAATTTTGCAGGTGTATAAAGTGATTTCCAGAGCTCTACAGAGTACCAAAACCTTGAGCCCTTTTTTTTTTTTTTTTTGGTGGCCTCCACTTTTAGGATTTATGCCTGCAGTGACCAAATGGCTCTTCCTCTCTTTGGGGACTTTACTCTGTTATACTCTACAATCATTCTTAATGTTGGTTTTCCTGTTAAAGGGAACAACCAGTGCTGAAAACAGGTTTGGAAAGTCTAGGCTACACAGTTATCTTCTACAGAGCACTCCCAAAGTGTCTTTGCAGACCCTGTGTCACTCTGCTCTGCCACTAACTGAGGTGTATCTCAATTTCTGACTTTGATAAACAGAGCCTATGAGTATTGGAACTCAAGGTGTTACCTTGCTTTACCTCCTCTGAGGCCATGGCATCTCCCACCTCAAAATCAGCTATTATTCGTCTCTTGATGAACCTCAAGTAGAGCTCACTGCGGGCATTCATCAGAGTGACTTCTGTTAAAATGGGGTCAAGCTCCCTGGAAGAAATACCAAGAATGAAGACAGCAAGACTACAAGAGGAGAGGCACTAATTTAATTCAGTGAAATAGTGTGTTCTCTGTTCCCTTACTATGAGATCAGTACTGCCCCTTCCCATCTGTGCCGCTGAGTGGCAAAGCTCAGCAGAATAACTGTGCAAAGCATGCACACACACAATCAAAATATCCCCCAAAATCTCCCCCAGGAGGTATCTCTACAATATTGGTTTTTTTTCTCACAAACTCTACTCTAAAATTGAGCCCTGTTTTGAGTGGGAGGTTTGACTAAAGATCTTCATCAGTCCTTCCCTACCTCAGTTTTGCTACAATTCCATGAGCCCTATGTAGCCAGTGTTAGAAATGCCTGGTCCCTGCCATCTCCACGTGTGTGTTTTTGAGCACAGACTCATGTGTTTCTCTGAAGATGATGAAGAATCTGTTTAAGCTCGACAGCTCAGGAAATGTGAAACAAAAAAAGCATGTTAAATGCAGAACACAGTGTTCAGATGAGAGATGATTAAAAAAAAGAAAGACTGACACATCAGCTTTTTCATCAGTGTGCACAGAAGAATTTTACAAATCCTGCTTGAAGCCTCATGGTGCACAAGTAGGAGAAGGAAACATTATTTTACAGATGAAAAATAAAAAAAAAATCAGAAAACTGGGATGTATGCAGAGTTACTCAGAGCAAATAGTAAGTAAATACTACTGCTGGAATATTAATTATGCAGGCTCACAGACAGATCTTCCTTGAGGAACCTGTTTTTTTTCAAGGCATGTATCTAAGTCAGGCAGTCCCAGAAGGGCTGGGTACACTTTCAAATGGCCTTGTTAAAGGGTTATGTAAATATTTATGATAGGAAGAAAAAGAGGGAGATTGAAAGCACTGCAGTTTGTTGTCAAGAAACTGATGGCATGGAGCTGCTGCAGCAGCAGTACAGATAAGGTAAGATCCAAAGATTTATTCCTGTTTCTGTTATAAATTATCTGTCAAGAGAGGTGCTCTGTTTTGTGGGCTCCAAGGACTGTACTCTGGCCATGAAAGGGTAGTGGGGACAGGCAGTTAAAATCTCAGTCCTTCATGTGCAGTGGTATCAACAACCCTCCAGGAATGCTTACAGCCAAGGCTTAGAATTAATGACTAAGCAAAATAAAGCCCCACTACAGAAGCTTCCTTTATAGAAGGGCAGTGAAGGGCACCTAACAATTGGATTTTTAAAATTAATACCCACAAAGCTTCTGGAAGAGTGGGAGAGTTATCTAAATGTTAAGTAGTGTTAATAACAACTCAAGAGCAAAAGGTTAGAGAGCATAAAGAGCTTTTCTTTGTACCTTGGTTCAATCTTCTCTGCAGAAGAACTCCTCATCATGCTATTCTGGACTTGCTGGAACTGCAATCACAAAAGGAATGGAGTGTTTGCTGATGACTTGTACTCTCTGGGGGTAACAGGAATGCTTTGCAGGAAGCACTGCCAGAGAAGGGAATCACATAAGTTCACTTCCTTCTCCTCCAAGGCAGAGCTGATCTCTCCAGGAAGGGTGGTGGGATGGGACTTGACCAGAGGCACTCAGGTATGTGACCACAGACAGTAACAGCAGCCCTGCATCTAAGCAGGAACAGACAGTGGGGAAAGTGTACTGAAAGCACCCTACAGACCTGCACAGCAAAGAGTGCTCAGGGTGCATTTACCATGTTCCAAATGAATCCTTCTCTGCATCAGAAAGCACAGTTACAGACTGAAGCCCTTCAGCTATCAGGATAAATAAGGATAAGCAAGGATTCTCTCATACACAAGGCCAAACTCTGCTGCCTCCATGGCAGTGGGAGCCCCACAGAACCAGATGGAGGGCACAGCTGGCTGCAGAGGCAGCCTCACACTGCTCTCACCTGCCTGTGATAGTCCCTCTCCTTGATGAACTTGTCCACCACCTTCTCCACCTGCCGGTCGCACTCCACCTGCAGGTGCTTGATGAGGGTGTAGAGCCTCCCTGGCCCATAGTAGGTCTCCACGATGGGCTGGTGGGTCTCCACAATGCGAGCAATCCCTGAGGGAGAGGAGAGACACTCACCCAGCAGCTCCCAGAGCACAGCAGAGCTACACAGGTCCACAGACCAGACCTAAAAAAGGATCATTCACTCCACAAATAGAGTACAAATCTCCTGGAGCAGAAGCCATCTCTCTGTCCCTAAAGAGAACTCCTGCCATGCCCTGTGTGCCAGCTGCCCTTCAGCCCAGCAAGATACAAGGTATGAAGCTTCCCCAGGACGAAGCCACACAACTGGAGCACAACTGTCGACCCAAATGCAGCCCCAGCTTTTAGCACCTGCAAGTCTACAGGGAAAAATCTGCCCAGGGATGGCTCACACACTTGCTGCAGAGAGCAAGCATTAGCAAAGGCAAGAATCCCTTGGAGGAAAAGTCCATCTCCAAGGAAGTATCTCTACAATATTGCCTTCTTCTCACAAATGCTCTACTCCAACAGTTAGCAATGCTCCCCCTGCTTTTAACACTACTGCCAAGAAAGCTCTACTGGTGCCAGCCTGGGAGAGTAACTTGGCAGGAGTGCAGCCTGGAACTAGAGCAGATTTCATAGAGAAGGTGGTTAATCACCATGGGATCTCAAGTACTGTCTGTGGCATTCCCACAGAGCACTCATATTCCCTTCTCTGCTTTCAAGTTCCCATGGTGCTTCTTGAAGAGCCAGGCCTGGAGGCACCAACAGCTGCTCATCCCTAAGGGATCTGATTTGTTTGTCTGGAGAGCTGCAGGCCTGAAGAAACCTCCAGGGAATACCCATTTGTTTTTTGGATGCAGAGAACAGGAAGAGTCTGATTCCTGGAGGAAGCCAACAAATCCTCTGCAAATGCACTTTGTGCCTGTACCAGATGTACATAGGAAAACTTGTTTATTGTGATGCCCTCTCCTGGTTAGAATAAATCCTACTGGTTGTGTCCCTGTCCCTCGAGTGAGACTCCTGTAGCTCAAAGGAGAATGAGGCATTTTGTCAGCTAAAATTAAAAGCATTTAAATTGATGGACAGTCTCACCATGGACTATTTGCAGTCCATCAGGAAGGAGGAAAGGCAGATTACCTTCGAAGAGGAGTGTCAGGGTGTCTGCAAAGATGACAGCAGCTCGACGGTCACTCATGTCTGTCCCCATCACCAGCTGCAGGTTCTCTTCTGCTTTGTTGGCCACCTGCAAGGCAACAGGACCAGTCAGCTGAACACACAAAGGTATTCCTCAACCCACAGGTGCTCTGTCCTTGCCCTAGAGAGCTTTCATTGGCCTTCCCAATGCAAGAGCTATTGGATGCTGCTCCTCCTTTGAACAGGGATCCTTTCCTCTCTTGTGGAAAACTCAAGGCTCAAGAAAAGGCAGAAACTTGTTCTTCTCTTTCCAGGCTCACTGGATAATTTTTAGGCATGTGTAGAGAGCAAGACACAGACACCAGAAAGCCCATCCCAGCATACAAATGCAGGGAGAGATATGGACTAAGGCCAGTGCTATTTTTTAAGGTGAACAAGCCACTACCAAAATCTCCTTCCACAACAGCTGTTGACAGAGACTGGGTTTTGTTTTCCCCTGGGTGTCACAGAGCCTGTTACCTGCTTGCAGAGGTACTCAGAGAACTTGCTCAGCCCATCTTCATGTAAGCCTAGCAGAGGAAAGATCTTGAAGAACCGTTCCACCTGGGGCAGGTCTCCCTGCTTCATAGCTGTGTCAAATTTCTCTGTAACAATTGTCTTCAGACGCTGCTCTGCTTCCTGCAGGAGTTTCAGGTTGGCATCAATTATTCCCCCTGGTCAAAAGGGCAGAAAGAAAGGGAAAAGTGACAGCACAATGTTAATACTGTATCAAGGGATACTTTTTTCCCCAGCACTGTGCAGCCCCAAGCTGAGAAGGTGGAAGACACACTGGAATTCCTCTACAGGCACAGACAGACAGGTTGGTGCATGATGTAATGTTGTGATTTTGCATGAAGGACAACACATCCACTGGGATTTGCCTCTTAGGAATCTAGTAATTTACTCCCTCATTTCCAGTTGTTCTGCTTGGTAGCACACTGTGACACAGGAAGAATTCTTGACAGAGCCTTCTCCCTCACTTCTTCTGGCCTGAACATTTTGTCCTTTGCTTAATTAGCACCTGAAATACTATTACAGCTATGTACCAGGCACTTCCTTTTAAATTAATGATAATTCTGGTGTAATAACGTTTCAAAAACCTTCACCCCTAAGTCAGTCTATAAAATACTAAGATCTCTAGCCAGCATTAGATTTTCTACTTTGTCTGTTGGGCTGAGACAACCCATGGGAAATGAGCAGCCTCTAGATATCCATTGGAAAGGTGACTCCTCAGCATGTCCCCACAAACAGTGCTTACCTTCCTTGCCCTGACGACTGAGCTCAATCACAGACTTGTCCAGAGACAGATAGCGATGGATGTGAGCTGCTGCTTGCTCATAGTCTTCATTTCTCAGGGCTGTCTGAACTCCATCCATGCAGAACTTCAGGTCAAGGATGTCATCAGCTCTCTGAATGGCCTGGTAGAGCCGGTTCTGAAAGAAAGGCAACCAGTAATGCTTCCAGCTGTGGGATGGAGCAGGGAGAGGGAACTGTCAGAAGACAGAGTGAGGGAAAACCAGACAGAAATACTTCTCTATACAGCAAAACTACTGTGTAAGCAAAAATCCCACTCTACTTAAAAAGTGCTAAGACCAGTGGCTCTGCAGGATGAACAGCATATGTCAAGATCGAGGGTGAACTTGGAGGCCACAGTTCTCTGTAACAAACAGGCAGAGACCAGAGAGGACACCACACATGATCTGTTTGATCTGGCATGGACACCCCTCAGCCTGTCCCCAGACAAGGAACAGCACAGCCCAGATTCCTGAGCTGGCTGGGGTGACAATCTGCACTGTCCTTAGCACTGTGTAGCTGCCAACACTGCCAGTCACCCTGTCCAGGGCATTCTACCAGGAGCTGTGTGCACAGCAGGGGATGCTGGAGAACCAGCTGCTAGATGGAGGAGCATCCCTGGAAGTGTTCAAGGCCAGGCTGGAGGGAGCTCTGAGCAGCAGTGAAAGGTGTCCATGTCAACTGCAGGAGAGCTGGGAACGAGAGGAGCTTTAAGGTCCCTTCCAGCCCAAACCATTCTATCACTCCACCAGTGTTATACCACACAGTACCCAGGGGCCCAGAAACACACAGCTAAAATCAAACCCACAGCAGTTTCCACCTGCCCACCAAAGGCAGGGCACCTCAGGTGTGCAGTGGGCACCGAGCACAGCCTGGTGGTGACAGGCCCCAGCCCTGAGCCCAGCTACCTTGGCCAGGTCGAGCTGCCGGACTTTGCTGCTGACGTTCTCGGCCAGGCTGCAGGTGAAGGTGATCATCCCTGCCAGCTGCTGGGCATCCCCCTCGATCAGCTGCAGCTTGGGGCTGGGAACACACAGAACTCGGCGTCAGATCACACCCCAGCCCCCTGCAGGGTGGGCAAAGAGCGTGGCTCTGCCCCAGATACAGCTGGGCCTGCCACAACACTCTGGTCGTTCCACTCCCTTCCTCTGGGGCAAGGAGGAGAAAGGAACAGACTGGCTGCTTTGGAGGAGCTGCACAGACCAGCTGTGCCTTCCCACAGGGCCCTTGTGACATTGTCCCCTTCTGGAGGGGAGGTGAGGGCTGTAAACCTTTCCTCAGAGCCTCTGCAGGACACGAGGCCATCCGGGGTGATTTCCCAGCCTGCCTGCACTAGCTCACCCTGAAGAGGCAGAAATGTTTGTTCACACCTGCAGACAGCCTGGCACAAGACACCAGAGCCAACAACTGATGCTGAAACCTGGCAGCCTCTGAGGTGACACTTTCAAAAGGCTTCTGAGCCTACAGCAAAATGGGTCAGTCTGGTGGGGGCACAGCTGTCAGAGCTGCACAGAAGAACTGGGACCTGGGGATGAGATCCAACTGCTGCTCTGTACCACAAACTCATTTAAAGTCTGGCATTTTCTGCAGCACTGGAAGGAGTATCTGGGTCAAGCAGCAAGGAGGAGGAAGGGGAGGAACACTAACCCCATGCGATGCAGGGCAACCATCTTATTCTCTATGGTGCTCTGCTGCTCCAGGAGGGCGTCCAGCTCGTCCTGCACGACTTTCTGAAGAAATAAAAAAATGAAGGAGGTGTTGTGTGACTTCAGCTCTCCTCAGATGAGCAATTCATCACAGACCCTACATCCAAGCACAAGGACACAAGAACTCACAGGACAAATCAATCCTTTCTAAGCTCTCTTTAACCCTCTAAGTCTATTTTTTCCTATTTGAAAGCATCGGTTTTGGAATCCTCATCACACCGCTTTTAAGTCAGATAACCCACAAACTCCTCCCCTGGCCGGGCTTCCAGCGCACGACATCCCAACATCTCCAGGCTGCTCGCGATTCAGGGATCCGCGGAGGCGACACCGACCCAGGGACGGCTCAGTCCGTATCAAACCCCTCTAGAGAGAGTGCAGCCGTGAGGGGCACAGCGACAGCGAGCTGTCCGCTTCTGGGGCCCCGCTGCTTCCCATGCCCGGCCCCACACACCTCCTCCTCGCACAGCCGGCTGTAGGCGGCCTCCAGGTCCGCCAGATCGGTCAGCGACTGGATGCGCTGCATGGACAGGGCGGAGGCGGCGGGGCCGCCGCTCTCGCCCGGCGGCGCCTTCGGCCCCGGCGCTGTGGCCGCCGCCATCTTGGCACACAGCTGACGCGGCGATGCCGCGTGAGGCCCGGCGGGACCGTCAAAGGCGGTGCCTGAGCCTTGGGGCGGCTCGGCTCCGCCCGGCAGCGAGGGAAGCTAACGCTCCCGCAGATCTCCATGCTGGAAGGAGGCTGAGGGTTTTCTCGGGGGGGTTATTGGTGCAGGCGGCCGCTGCCATAGCTCCGCGATTAATCAGGCACCTCACTGGGTACCCTCCCTCGCCGCACGGCGCGCGCGCGCCGGCCTCGCGGAAGGCCCCATGGAGAAGGCGCGGGAGGGCAGCGCGCAGGCGCGGCGCTGATGGCGGAGGAGGCCGGCGGCGCGCCCGCCTAGGCCGGAGCAGCATCCGCCGCCATCCGCACGGTGAGCGCAGCTCTGCCCGCCCGGCGGCGGCTCCGGCCACGCACCGGCCCCTGCTTTGTGAGGGGAGCGTCGCAGGCGCCCGGGGGGTGAGGGCGGCCGGGCCGGGCGGTGAGCTGTGGCCGCTTCCCGGGGCGGCGCTGGCTCCGTGCCCTGCCGGGGCTCGGCCGAGCCCAGGGCCGGTGTTCCCGGCCGGGCGGTGCTGGGGCTCCCTCCCGCCGCGGCCTCAGGGAGAGGAGCCGGCCCTGAGCGGCTGCGGGTGGCCGCGCTCGCGTTCAATGAACGGCGGCGTCAGAGATGCGTAACGGCGCGGGGATCCCGCAGGGCTTCCCCGACTGCGTTTGGCTCAGGAAAAGCTAAAGCCTAATGACTAATTAGCAGTAATTACTGGACGTTCTGCTCAGCCGCCCGGCGGTGAGGAGTTCAGCTGGCAGCCGGGACGCCCTGGCAGAGCCCTCAGCCTCGCCGCGCTAATAAATATCAACTAGCGGGGCGGCAGTCGGGCTGCTGTGCAGTGCACGCGTGGGACGGCAGCGCTTCCCTGGGCTGGTGAAAGGCTCTGCTTTTGAGAAGCTTGTTATTTTTGTGTTACTTGTTGCAGAATTACCGGAGCTGCGGTCAGCTGAAGCAAATCCGTTGCCAACATGTTTCTGTACAACCTAACGCTGCAGCGTGCCACAGGCATCAGCTTTGCTATCCATGGCAATTTCTCAGGTAATTTTCTCCCTCTGCATGGCTTGGCTTGAGGCTTTTTTGGGTAGCACAAGAAAAAAGATGTGTTTTACACTTTGCTTTGGTACCTCTGGGGTTTTTTTTTGCTGGTATGTTATTATTTGCTTTTAAGTGTTAGTTGAGCTGTGGTGGCTTGTGGAAAGGTTGAGAGAAGTGTGGCGTGATTATTTATCAGTCTAATTTAGTTTTAGTGTTCTGACCAATTTTCTGGTGTGTTAAAAGATGTTCAAACAATGGTTGCAGATAATGTGGTGGATAAGTTTCTTTGAGTTTCTCCGTGGTAGCCCTAAAATTGGCATTTGGAAGTTTCCCCTTCTTTTCTTGTAGCAGTTGTGTCCTCTGTCGCTGACTTGTGTCGTGTTTCGGGTTCTGCAGGCACCAAACAACAAGAAATTGTTGTTTCCCGGGGCAAGATCCTGGAGCTGCTCCGCCCTGACCCCAACACGGGGAAGGTGCACACTCTGCTGACCGTGGAGGTGTTCGGGGTCATCCGCTCGCTCATGGCCTTCCGGCTCACCGGGGGCACCAAGGACTACATCGTGGTGGGCAGCGACTCGGGCCGCATCGTCATCCTGGAGTACCAGCCCTCCAAGAACGTCTTCGAGAAGATCCACCAGGAAACCTTCGGCAAGAGCGGCTGTCGCAGGATCGTTCCGGGCCAGTACTTGGCTGTGGACCCCAAGGGCCGCGCCGTCATGATCAGTGAGTCTCTCTGTCAGCTTGTGTTCTTCGTGTTTTTATCTTCTCCCTTGTGGGTGTTTGTTTTGGAGCAAGTTTCTGCCAGGTATGATTGGAATTATAATTGTTCCAGGCTGTGAGCTGTGTCAAGGAGAACGCAGGCGTTCAGAATTGTTCCTTGGTGCTGGTGGAATTGCACAAATAAAAATTGTGATGCTGAACCAAAACAAGTTGGAAAGAGATCAGGGCACAGAGCCCTGAGGCGTGGTGTGTGGGAGAGAGGATGGGATTGCAGGTGTCAGTGCTGCAGTGTAGCCAGCTCCCATGGCCTGAAATGATGTTCTGAGTTCATGTCTCTTCTCTGAGGTGTCTCATGGAGACAGCCAGATGCATTTCTGATCAGGCTTCACAGGTAGAAGTACACTTGGGAGAATTTTTTTGGTAAGATTTAGCACAGGGTGTGTGGAACTTTCTCAGTTTGCTGAAGGCAGCTCTGTGCAGTGCTGATGGTAGTTTACCAGTGTGTCTTTATACTGGGAATAGCAATAATATGATTTCTTTTCTAACATGTGTAGTTTTCCTGGGTGAGAAAGTAGCACAGTCACAGTTGTGCTATTCATGTTGATATTTGAGTGGAGTTTTTTATGTTGTGGATGCTGTATGTCAAGCAAGGATACATTCTCTTGGTTAGAATATTTCTGTGGAAAAGTTGTCATACCAACTGGCTTTAAGTAGCAGAACATCTGGATGCTTCTTTCTGTTTGTCTTTGCTTCCTTGCAGTCAGTCATCTCTTGTGTTGTAAAAAGAGTAAGTAGATCTGCCTCAGGCCAGTGTAGTTGGAATATTGGGCCAGGTGAATGTAGCTCAAAGGGTCAGACTTTGGCTTTAAAGGGCTGAAGTTGTTATTTTGTGCTTGCAATCTTCTGAAAGATTTAAAATGAGACATTCGAGGTTAACTGGTGGCACAGAGATAAACACCAGTGGTGAACTTCAGCTGAAGTAGTGCTGACATTCTCTTTCAGAGTTACATCTTGATTTTGGGCTGTGTGGTCAGATTTGATTATAAATTAATGGGCTTCACGTGCTGTTGTCCTTTCTTGCAGGTGCCATTGAAAAGCAGAAGCTGGTGTATATCCTGAACAGAGATGCTGCTGCTCGACTCACCATTTCCTCCCCACTGGAAGCCCACAAGGCCAATACCTTGGTCTACCACGTGGTGGGAGTCGACGTGGGGTTTGAAAACCCAATGTTTGCTTGTCTGGAAATGGATTATGAGGTGAGAAGAACTTCATCTCTCTTTGCTGTATTTTGGCCTTTGTTGTTCCTATTCTGTTCTTCATCTGTCACTGGGGAACATTGGCAGCTTCTGCTGTTTGGACAGTTTTCGTTTTTTACAGGCTCACTGGCTGTTTGTCTTGCCTTCAGCCAGAATGGGCAAATCTCTTCTGTCTTGGTGATTGATTCTTTTTGCTTTTCAACTGAAAATATGCCTGTTTCCTTGGTCTGAACTTCTCTTGTGCAACTTCCAGCAAGTCTTTTGGCCCTCATTCTGTTGCTACTCAAAACTGTTTCCCAACGTATCAGCTTTGCTTCTCCTTTTAACCCTTTATTTCAAAGACACCTCAATGTGTTCTGTTTTAGGAAGCAGACAACGACCCAACAGGTGAAGCTGCAGCCAACACACAGCAGACATTGACGTTTTATGAATTGGACTTGGGTTTGAACCATGTTGTCAGGAAATACAGTGAGCCCCTGGAAGAGCATGGCAACTTCCTCATAACAGGTACTGCCCACAGAGTTGTTTTTGCATGGGTCTGCTTGGTTCCCATTCCCCAGGAAAACACAGTCAATACTCTTTACATCTTAGGAGTTGTTTCAGTTGTGGTCTGAGCCGTTAGTATAAATTAATTAATTGACCTTGCAGTCAGGTAATGAGGGGTTGTTTACACATGGAAATACACAAATATTCATAGAAGCAGCTGCAGTTAGAGAGTGCTCCTGAAATTAGCTGGTAGCAATGCAAAAGAACTTAGTTTTAGTAACAGGTAGGTGCTGTTTTACTCTCTTCTATGGGATTCCATCTGCTAAAGGCAGTAGATGAATCCATGCACTGAAAGCCCACTTGGAGATCTTGGATGCAAAGCCAATACAACACCTTCAACCAGGGAAGCTGCTGCAGGTTTCTCTCCAAGCACAGAAGGTGCTGAGCTAGGAGAGCTTCCTTGTATGCTTGTCCTGTTGTATCTTCTGTAGGCAGCTGTGAGACAGACACCAAGTATTGTGCTGAATCTGTTTGATGGTATGTTACACAGATCACAAAGTATGGTTTTAGAAATGCTTCTATTAACTAAAGATGTTCATCCATCTGACGGATTTTTCTACAAAGCAAACATGCCAGAAACCCAGGGGTTGTGTTTAACTGACAAGTTGCTAGTACGGTATTTTGAGTGTGTCATGGCTTTCTAGACAACAATAAGCCAGGAGGGATAAAGCTTAAGCAATTTGTCAGAAACTGCATCTTTCCAGATCCCCTGGTTCCATCTGTCCTGTTCTCATGGTGGCACACACAGCTGTGCTCAGTCTTTTTTCTTCTCCTAAGAGCAGATTCATATATGCAGGGTGTTGGAGAGTATTGGAAACAATGTTGCTTTAAAGAAAACCAAATGTTCTGCGGGCAACCAGTCAAGTTTGTGGTAAAGGCTTTTCTCCTGATATTTTTCTTTCAGTTCCTGGTGGTTCTGATGGCCCCAGTGGGGTGCTGATCTGTTCTGAAAACTATATTACTTACAAAAACTTTGGTGACCAGCCTGATATCAGATGCCCAATTCCCAGGAGACGGGTGAGATTTTTTTAAGATTATGAATGCTTGGAAATTGCCTTTCAAGGTTAAGGGCATCAGGAAGGTTGTAAAGTAAGAAAAAAAGGAGTTAACATGTTGGCTTATCTGCCTCACTGGCTGTGTGTTATCTGGGAGGGAGGATGGAGGTGGGCATAGCCTGAAGTGATGAGTGTAGTTCATGTCTCTTCTCTGAGATTTATACTGGAGATACTCCAAAGACTCTGATCAGGCAGCACTGTCAGTGCAAGACAGGATTACTTGAGATGCTGAACAGTGGCAGTTGTAGCTGCAGGTGCATTCAACAGCTGCTCTGTTGCATCTAAGGCTGCTCCCTCTCCCTTTGGTATTAGGAATGCAGTGCTTTGAACACCTGCCA